TAATATAGTTTAGTAATAAAAAATAAGTTATTATAATTTAACTAATAAATTTCTTAAACTTAATAATATTATTATATATTATAATAGAAAGTTAAAATTATTTTATAAAGTAGTACTATTTAGATAACCTATTTTTATTATATAGATAAGAGCTTTTTATAGCTAAATAGTTTTTANATAATATTACTAATAAGGTTATAAAGGTACTTATTTTTTAATATAAGTTATATATAAATAAAAGTATTTTTTTTAAAAATATAATATATTTAGCTAAACTAAGTATCTTTACTACTAAAACTACCCCTCTTATTATTATTACTATTACTACTACCTCTTAAAGCTCTTTATATTTACTAATTTACTTAAAAAATATATTTTTACTATTTTTAATAATTCTATATATATTAGACCTAGATTAATAATTCTTCTATACTAATTCTTACTAGCACTACTACTACTACCTACCTCCTAAGGCTCTTAATTAATTAAGGCTTTTAATACTTACTAATTTACTTAAAAAATATATTTTTATTACCTTTAAAAGATATATATATAGTTAACTAGAAAAAGGGTTTTTTTATAATTATAATAGCCTTTAACTAACTAGTTTTACTTATATTCCTATATAATAAATACTTAAATAAAGTAGTTATATATTTTATTATAAAAAGTACTTTAATTATAATATATTAACTATTTTTAGTATTTATTATAATAGCTTTAAAGGTATTATTATTTCTTTTATTATTTATAATAAAAATACCTTTATCTAACTATTTTAAAGTAACTAAGGCCTATTATAGAGGTTCTAAATAATATCTAGATCTTATATTTAGTAAAAGGGTTCTTTAATATCTTACTATTATATTAGCATAAATTTTATATATAAAAAAAGCTTATTTTTTATTAAAGGCTATTAGAGTTATTATTAAGTATATATAAGATTTATATTAATTATAGTTTTTTATTAAATATATTCTTTTAGTTAATATATATAAAAAAGTTTATATTAAGCTATAAAGTAATATATTAACTTAATTAGAGATAACTATTAGTAAAAATTATTTTAATATATAATTAAAACTATATCTTTATTATATTTCTTAATAAGAAGTTTTAATATAATATAGTTAATTAATATAGTTAACTTACTAAGTTACTTCTAGTTAAATAATTTAACCTAATAATAGATTATAATAACTACCTTATCTTTATATTACTATTCTTTCTTTTTAATAAGTTATATAAAAGCTTTATAAAGCCTAAGTAAGTTACTATTTTCTCTAATAAGGTAAGATTTAATATTTTTATAGTAGGCTTTATTTATTTATTTATTTATACTAGTTAAACTAGTTTATCTATCTAGTACTTTTACTAATTATAAATATAAGAAAAACTAAGTCTTTAGAGGAAAACCTATACTTTTATATATTACTCTAGGTCTATCCTAGTTCCTAGTCAGGGCTTATAAGGCCTCTCTTCTTAATTTATAAAATAAATATAAACCTCTTATAACTTCCTTCTTTATTTTATAATAGGTATTAGGTAGTCTAAGGTAAATTAAGTCTATATTATTATTTAGTAAGAGTATAGTATTTTCTCTAGGTATTTATTAAGGAAGATTATTATTATTATTATTATTATTAATTATATTTAGTTTTAATTTATTTTTTTATTTATATAAAACTATTCTATTTTAAGGTTATTATAAAGAGCTATTAAAGTAAATAGTATATTATTATTTCTATTATATATATTATATATATACTTATTAAGTTTTTCTTTACTTATATAATTTATAAATAATATATAAAATTCTAATTCTTTTATTATTATAAATATAAAATAAAAGCTTTTTATAATTATAATTATTACTTATTTATAAATTTTTTATTAGTTATTAACTAATTTAACTAATTTACTTAACTTATTTAACTTATTTAATTAATTTAATTAATTTAATTAATCTAGTTAGTTTATTAATATAATAAATAAAGTAAAATTTCTTTATTTTTATAAGCTTTTTTCTTCTTTTATTAACTAAATTATCTATATACCTTCCTCTTCTTTTCTCTACTAGCCTTATATATAGACTTTACTTATTTAAGTTATATTTAATATATTATTTTTATTATTAATATTATATAAAAAACTTATTATTTTTATTATTATTACTAAGTAAATAATATCTCTTTACCTTATACCTACCTTAGGCTTATAGTTAATTCTTTTTTAGATTTTATATAAAAATATTAAAAAAACTAAAAATATTAAAAATAATAAACATTAGTTTATTTCCTTTTCACTTTTAAACTATTTACTAATTTATATTTCTAAATTATATTATATACTAAACTTACTTAAGGTTTATTTTAAGAGATTCTTTATAGCCTTTACCT